ACGTTGAGTAAATCTATTGGGTGAACTATACATTTGAATGCTGGTAATCTTTTTTTTAAATATTTCTTTTATTAGTCTTTCTGGTCATCTCCCTCTTCTACATAAGCACTCTTATTGTCATGCACCACATTAGTGCTGGGCGACGTGTATTTTTCAATAACTGCTATATTGGTGCGTAGCTGAAACAATTGCAGATAGAGGGAAACCTCTATTAACTGCATACCCTTATCTTACTAATGGTTCTAAATTTATAACACAACCATAAATAACCCACACAACTAACTCGCTTTAACATGGCAAATTACCATGTAGAGCCCTATTATTTCTGCAATGCAGAAAACGGACCGAATCCAGTCAACAAATTTATAAATTTGTGGATGAATAAATCAAAAGTAGGGCTGTACAATAAATCAAATCACTTCACTATATGGACTAGTGTCTGTGAATATTAAAGCTAAAAAAATTGCTGTTGAATCTGAAGTCTGCTTGTTTTTCGTGAATGAGCGCCGCGGTTTTTTGTTTACTACACACAAACTGAAGCTCGCGTGATGCTCGTGGAGTTTCCAGCGTCTGCCGTCTCACTATATGAGGACATAAACTTCATCTGCCGAGCTGCTCTTAGTCACTTCAGCTGCATTTCGCCATTTCATTTGATACAATTATTTGATATCATGTCATATAAACTCTTCACAACAACCCGTCAAAATAAAAGTTTGCTTTAACTGCAAAAAATTACAACAGAAATATAATCCTGTTGCACAGTTGAGTGTACTTCAAGTAATAATAATAATGCAGTTTATTAAAACACACAAAAAACTCAAAGGTCTTTATTACAACCCACCTAAATTAAAAGTTTGGTCTAATTTGAAGAAATTATTAAATAAATATTACTATTCCACAGTATAATGTATTCTTACAGTAGTAGTTGTAATAATAACAATATCATTTAATAAATAATTTTTAAAGGATAACACACAAGTTTTCATGTTTTAAATGGTAAACTTGCCAAAACTTAAAGGAATTAGCCTACATTTTAAAATATTAACGAATGTTATTTTTATAAATGAATTTGATTACCACCATTGTTTTGAAGTAAATTTGTATTTTAACATTACAATGTTTTTTTTATTTATTATTCTGTACTCCTGACAGTAAAATAAGGCACTATCCTATAAACCTATATAAAGGTCCAGTCATAAAAATATAAAAGTATTCTGATATACCTCAAAACCGCCAGATTCTTAAAAAAAAAATACGGTGATGCAGGTTTTTTGGTCATACCGCCCCCAGCATTATACCACATATCCAACAAGTCATACACACACTACACTTTTTATCTTGTGGTGTGCATATGAAGGGCTGAATGTTCTAGCGAGTCTGTTTCTCGCTTTTGAGATTTACGGATATGGGCATGTTTGTGTACTGCGGATGTTGCCTGGGGAAGATGGTACCTTGAAATGCATTGCCGAACACTTTGTGTAACACTCCGAGCTCTGCATGCTACTGCAGTGCTATATTTTATTGTGTGCTACTGCTAACTCAAGCAGAAAATCACTTTCGCTTGGAAAACTCAGTAGATACTGTTGTCTTTGCCCCTTCAGAGACTTCTATTCAACAGTGAATACACTTACACAGATCAGATGCATGTGCAAAATGCAATATAAGCTGGACTTTGATGGTTTTAACTCCTCTAGATCTCTTTACTTTTTCACTTAATTTCTATGAAAAGGTTTTTAATGGAAGATAAACTTTAACAACATTTTATAAATGATTTATTTACTTTTCCATTGTTTTTTTTTTTTTTTACCTGTCTGTCCATGAATAAAGTGGCCAGCTGACGCAGTGATACATTATAAACAAACAAACAAACAATATCAGCTGGTTGTCTTCATGTTACAGGAAAAGGCAATCTAAAATGTACTTTACCCTCATGTTATGCAAACCTGTATGATTTTCTTCCTTCTGCCGAACACAAAACGAGATATTGGGCAGAGTGTCAACTGGATTTTAAAGAGCTTAAGTGAAAGAGGGGGAGGGGGGCACTTTTTTCAGTCTGTTCTTCTCACAAAGCTATCGTGTGGGATTGGGAGATCAAAGGTGCGGTCATATTAGCAAACCTCTGCAAAATGTTGTGAATTGTCAATAGTGTAGGAATGCAGTCACTTCCAAACCAAGCAGAGTTTTTTTTATTATTCAACGTCAAAAACTTAAAGTTTAACAAAAAAAAAACTTCAATCCAATTGGAAATTCATGTGAGGGCTGTTCCCGGTTCCTATTGAAATGACTGCATTTTGCCTGCTGAATTTTGCAAAGGAATGTCGCCACGACCTTAAAAAAATGCACAAGTCATGAATGTTTTTTGTTTCTTTTTGGAGCTTGACAAGCATCAGTCCCCATTCACTCTTTTTGTATGAAAAATAGCAGCCTGGGCACATATTTTTAAATATCTTCTTTTGTGTTCCACAGAAGACAGAAAGTCATAGGGGGTTTGATTGGCACAAAGATTTTACATTTCCCAGTAAACCGTTGCTTGAATCACATTATTGTATGATTCATTACTGTATCAGGTTTCTGCATGTTGTCTTGCCAAACAATTGTCTGCACAAAGTCCTTTACTCTGTTAAGCTGTCATGAATTCTGCGGCTTCTCCGCAGGGGTGCGCCTCTGTTTTCACAACTTGACCACGTGCTCCCCATGCTCCCATTGTGGATGTGTGTGTTTTGCAGTGGTACTTGCTAACTCACACATAGCTGATAAGACTTGCTTGCTGTGGCATGGTTACAGTGAGCTTTTTATGTCCATTGGCTGGTGTTTTTTTAAAGGAGTGGTTTCTGATTGAAAGTGCAGCAACGCATCTAATCCCTGATTGGCTGAAGGGAGGAGGAAAGCCTCATATGATTGGACCAAACCCCTCAGATACCCTAGTTGTTTCTTTTTTTCTTCTTCCATGCAGTCTGTTTACATCAGGTCTGCCTTGAGATTCTCTTGACTTCTTCTGAGAGAGAGAGACAAGAGAGTAAGTGAGAGTGAGAGGGAGGGATCACAGATGTATGGAAGGAAGCACACTTGAGTATCTGTTTGTGTAAGTGCAAAGTGTTAAACAGCATGACAGGAATAATGTTGAGAGAGTTAAAAGGGTGAGTGTCATTTGTGAGCATCCAGCTTTTAAAATGCTACAAGATAAAGTGAAGCTCCTCTCACAGTTTACATGCTGCTGACAATTTATTATTTATTTTTTTTACCAGTTTGATAGATTTTTTTTCCTTATTTCATTGAAAATTGTAGTGTTTATATATTGACGTTCAATATAAGATTTACATTATGTAAGTGTTTCTGTATTTAACACCATTGCCTTTCCCTGCTGACTGTCATAAATATGCCGGTTGAGTGGAAGTAAGTGCAGTACAATAAAATAAGACATAAATAGAAAGTTAAACTGAACAGAAATTAAAATGAAGTGGAAATGCAAAGGTGGCAAAAACAGAAAACGGTGAGAAATTCTCACTGTTAGTTAGCTGGAGAGCATAAGTTTAGTTATTAATCTCGGATTACAATTTGGTTTTGTGTGCATTGACTTTAATTACCGGTACATCTCATGGCACTTTTTATGCAGTTCATGTTACAATAATAGTCTACAAAACTGAATTGGTGTCAGGCAAACTGTTGAGTTGTCAATTGTTTTACTTTTTTTTTTTTTACGTTTTTTTTTTCACTCTGTTTTAGTCCCTTGTTCTCTTTTTTATTTTTCCTAAGGTTAAACAGCCTGTGGAATACACTTACTCTTTGATCTCATCCAGAAAATGGGATTTGTTATTCTTCCTTTACCACCCATCTCTCTCTCACTCTCACTCTCTCTCGCTCTCATGCTCTCTCTGTCTCTCTCTCTGTTTTTTTCTTTCTTTCCCTCAATCACTCTTTTGGCTGGGTGGGACCAGTGTAGTGTCCTCATTCATTCTCACAATGCCCACTGCTTAGCAACAACCAATCAGCCCTCATATTTTTGGAGGGGCCCTCCAGCCAATCAGGAGTGCTGTGCTATAGCATTTTCTGCTCTTCAATCCTATTGGAGAATGAGAACAAACGGTGTTGGCCCAGAGCACTGGGATGAGCAGAACTGAAGTGCCCTTAAATTCTGACCTCATCAGTGTTGATGTCTGGAGGGATGTGTTAACTCTCTTAGACTTGATCAAAGCGACTCCGTCATTCTTAGTCCTGCTCTCTACCCTTGCTCCTGTCCATTAAAAAGTTCCCTGGCACTTTAACCATGAAGTGTCCTGTGTTGGCATCAGTTTTTGTTAGCTTTTATCACATAGTACAAAAAAAAAGTTAGTGATAGTTTGACATGCTGGCCATTTAATCAGCCAGTTTATTGCACATTATTAAAAGCAATAAATGTCCTAATTTAACTAAGGCCTTGTGGAAAGTCCTGTGACTGAAACAGATAAATAGTACTGAAACAGGTATGCCTAATATATAAAATGAAGATGTGCGAGTGCAGTACAATAAAATAAGACATAAATAGAAAGTTAAACTGAACAGAAATGAAAATGAAGTTGAAATGCAAAGGTGGCAAAAACAGAAAATGATGAGAAATTCTCACTGTTAGTTAGCTGGAGAGCATAAGTTTAGATGTCCAAGTCTCTAAAACCAGGCCTAAAAACACTAATAATTTAATTACACTGTTACATGTAATATTTAGCCAATTTCAAAGTGAATATCCATTCTTCATACTCTACACTTGTAGGACAACTTGAAGGATTTAAAGTGATTTCATTTTTTAGTGTTTTATTTATAATTTATCGGCTATTGAACATAACATTGCATTAGTCATAATTTAAAAGCGGCACATACCTACAACTTCCTATACCTCTCATAATCTCTACCTCAAGTGCAAGCTTGAATATGAAGGCAGTAGGGAAAGGTCTTGTGAACCGTATAGAGTGATGGAAACCCTCTTCACTGTACAGTATGTGAACGTGTGTGTATTATGTGCTTGACAGGGCTCTGGTGATCATTAGCACACTGGATGGAAGAATCGCAGCTCTGGACCCTTTGAACCAGGGACGCAAACAGTGGGACCTGGACGTGGGCTCAGGCTGTCTAGTGTCCTCTAGCCTCAGCAAACCAGAGGTATTGCACATAATTTCTCACAGCATTTAACTCTTTCCCCACCATTGATGGAAATTTCCATCATTTATGACACAACCCTTCGCCACCATTGACGGAATTTTCCGGCTTTGTAGTCTTTAAAAAAAAAAAAGTTCTTAGCTTTTTGTTCAAAATGTTGCTTTTTTATGAAATTTTCAAGTGTTGATAAAATACAAAGAATGTATGAAGCTAGATGTTTTTTTTTTTTTTAAAGAATAGGCTCTTCTGCGGGTCTTAAAAGGTCTCAAATAGTCTTATTTCACCATTACACAATATATTTAGGGGTCTAAGCACCAAGGGTGCAGAAACCTTATTGTGTTTGTACTGATTTTCTTCTAAGGGTTTCTCCCATAATCCTTGAGTCAAGCTCTACAAAACATATCTCTCTGCAACCGTGTGATCCATGTCTTGAAGTTGAAAACTGCAGGGTTCCCACGGGGCATTAAAGTCCTCCTGTACGCATGGAGAACAAGTTATTCTGAGCAAACATGCTTAGTTTCAGGAATTTCTGATGCTTGGTAGGCTAACAGCAAATTCTAAACTATTAGCCCTGAAAGATGGAGGCTGTGATATTAAAGGTCCCGTTCTTCGTGATCCCATGTTTCAAACTTTAGTTAGTGTGTAATGTTGTTGTTGGAGTATAAATAATATCTGTAAAATTATAAAGCTCAAAGTTCAATGTCAAGCGAGATATTTTATTTAACAGAAGTCGCCTACATCGAACGGCCCGTTTGGACTACATCCCTCTACTTCCTTCTTTAATGATGTCAGTAGAACAGTTTTTTGACTAACGTCCGCCCACAGGAATGCTCCCTCAACTCCCTAAACTTGCGCACTTTATAACTTACTGTGTTTACTCAGCTGAGCTCTTACGGTGATTTTCTGAAGTAAAACTGACGCTTCATCTTTTGTGTGATGTACAATAAACTTTATTAAACTCATCAGTATATGTTTGATCATCATTCGGACCTGGTCCGAAACAGCAGACTTGTAGTCTATTAATAAATAATGGATACATACAAGCAGATGACAAATACGTTATAATAACCGTAATTAAACTACTAAACTATACCTGTTCCATCTCTATACAGCACTCTGACTCAGTAGGCATTATTGTCCGACTCGAAATGAACACTGTTACTGAGGGTTTCTGATATTCTCATCATTCCATGAGATGAAATTGTCCTGAGAGACTGAGCGCGAGCTCATGAAGCTCCGCCCCCTGTGCCGGCAGCAGCAGCTTATTTGCATTTAAAGGGCACACACTAAAACAGCGCGTTTTTCTGAGCCCCAAAAAATGACACTTTAAACAAGCTGTAAAAAATGATCTGTTGGGTATTTTGAGCTGAAACTTCACATACACATTCTGGGGACATGTTATTTTACATCTTGTGAAAAGGGGCATAATACGGGACCTTTAATGCTGTCCATTATAGGCCACAGGATAAGGAATCTCTTAAGTCACTTTTTTTCTATCAGTTTCAATCCCTTTGAATGGAAATGGATGCATTGATCTAGTTCACTTGTATAACTACAGTGTACTGACAGTATAGTTTTATATAGTTAGTGTACATATATAAGGCAACACATATTATAGAAATATATTATAAATAATCAAAAGGGCCTTAAGATAAATGATTCAGATAAATGAGGTTTTGAGCTGCAAAAGATACCTTCACATTTAATTGAAATTGTCCTGTATCATCCTATGACAAGCGATTCATCTAAATTTAAATGTTAAATACGAGTCCACACATACATCACATGCTTTATGACAGACAGTAAACATTTTTATACTCTTTTAATCTAACAGTGATGGGGAGTAATTTGTTTTTGAAAGTCAGTTGTCCATTTTGATGTGTGTGTGTTGCTTTTACCTGTTCCATTAAACCCTAACGTTCAGTGAAGATTCATGGGCTTTTCTCTAAAAAGCACATAAGATACATTTCAATTGGATCGCTAATCATCCACATGGGCCATTAGTGCTTAGACTCTGATTGCCGCTCGCAGCTACAGTATATTTGTTCATGTTTTAGGCATAAACTCACTTAATTTTGATACATTTTACAAACAACAAGACTTCATATTTGATGTTATTTTGCATCTTGCATTTGTATCTTGATTTAAGAATCTTTAGACAGATGCGCTGGAAAACAAGACAAAAATACAGAGGAAGAATATCACTTTTGTGCAGTGTGATCAGAAGGTACAGTAAGTTATTTTCATATTCTAGTGGTTGGGAGCAAATCAAAATGTTTGTATTTAACTCAACTAATGGATTGGAAGTTGTATTTTCAAACTCTGAAATGTTGCTAATACAACTAGACATTTAATTCAGAGAACATATTGACATATTGTGTTTCCTTCGATTTCAAATTCAGTGTCTTGAAGTCTTAAATTTACCTTCATAAAACCTGCAGAAATCCTGTTGGTTAGATGTGTTAAACACTTTCTTGTAGTATTTCGCATAGTGATGCAACATGAAGGTTTTCTGCCCAAACATGCAAACGGCACATATTATTCTGTTGTTCCTAAGAGTTTGTGTGCGTGTGTGTGTGTGTGTGGGAAAAGGCGATGTTTGTTTGAACCCCTTTACCCCAGAAGAGAATGAGACATGGCCCAAAGGAAATTGGACCTGAAACAAGTTACATACACACTCATGCGCACACACACATACACACACATAGATCACAGACTCGTACTCACTAGAGACTGAAAACTTGCCTGGAGGAAGAGCGTTTGGCAGGGATGCACTTATGCGCCTGTGCGCATGCACACACACATTTATACAAACACACTGAGAAAACATTAGCGCTGCACTTACAGGCTTCATTGGGCATCTTCTAATTTGATATTTGTACATTGTTACACATTAGTTTGATCCATGCTAATAATTTGCAGTGTCTAAGGATGTCATATGTTTGTTTTTGTTTTGTTTTTTCTCCTCTCTCTTTACTTGCGCTGTGTGTGTGTGTTTGTATAATTGTGTTGACCCCCTGTCTGGTTTGGTAACCTGAAATGCCTGGCTGCTGTGGGAGCAGCCTCTCCATTGGCTAGAATCTTCCTCTCCCCTCCCCTTTTACCTCTGGGTGCCTAGCAACCAGCCATTCTGATTGGCTGAAGCGGTGCCTTGCAAGGCACTCTGCTCGGTGATTAGAGCAGTCTGCCCCTTTTTGATTGGCCCTCGCCATGGCGCCAGTAGAAAGCAGTCACCTATAGCATGCCTCAACAGTAGGAGAGAGGCCAGAAGTAAACAGCATTGTCTGCAGAAACACGCTGTCACAACACAAGGGGGAGGTGTGATAGAGAGTAAGAAAGAGAAGGATGAGAGGAATGAGGAAGAGAGAGAGAGAGAGATTGGGGGGTGGGGGGTGGAGAGGATACCACTGACAGTGTGGTGTGACTCATGCTGAGAGGATTGAAGAATGAGGTAATGCCTTATGTGTGGGATGATGTCATCCATAAGAATGCCCCCCCCCCCCCCCATCCCAACAAACACATACACCCCCTCCCATCTATTAATCTTTAGAGTGAACCGTTGTAATTAATGCGCTTTAATCTAATGAGACAAAAAGCTGGTATTTCTGCACACTATTCAATGCACAACAACAGCACAGCATAATTGTATTGACACCGTGTCGGGCTTGTGCTGTAGACAAACCTAAGTTCATAACGTCAATAGAACCTTCCAAAAAAAACAGGCCAGGTCACATTTCCCACCAAATTACCTTCACTGTAATGTTTTACTTCAGTACAGTACAGTTTACTGTAAACAGGAAAACTGTTTACTCTTTATAATAAATATGTATTGTTGTGATGCTTGATTTCGATTGTTTGACAAATGTTGTAGGGTGTGCGATTATTTTTCAGTAAGTAGAAGTTTCTGGTCTGTCAACTGCATTACAGTTCTGTATCACTTCACCTAATTATTTCAGTTATTTCAAAGGCCATTCAAAGATGTTTACCAAGCAAATATGACAAACAAAAGGATAAAAATGACAATTTCCATGGTTTCCTTATTAAATTACCTTTTTGCTTTGTCTTTGTACACATTCTCTCTCTCTCTCTCTCTCTCTCTCTCTCTCTCTCTCTCTCTCTCTCTCTCTCTCTCTCTCTCTCTCTCTCTCTCTCTCTCTCTCTCTCTCTCTCTCTCTCTCTCTCTCTCTCTCTCTCTCTCTCTCTCTCTCTCTCTCTCTCTCTCTCTCTCTCTCTCTCTCTCTCTCTCTCTCTCTCTCATTATGTAACTTATAACTTTATTATTTATTTTAGCAGTGAAATATGACCCTAACGTGTTCTTGACAGATTTTATGAGATTTTATCAACAGTACAATGATGTGCGAACACAGTTCTTTGAAGTGTAATTTTGGTGCTGCTCTTTTGCTTTCTTTTTGGGTATGTCAGTGATGTCAACTTCTGATGGCACTCAACTGAATATCTCAACTGTCGTAAAAAGATGCAAAATAATACCAAAGCAGGATCAGCAGTTTCACAGTAATGTTGCTTAGTCCTAAAGAGAATTAGCATTTTCCTTCAGGTGTTTCTAATAGATTTTTAGAACAACGGTTTTTGATTTGATTAAAATTAGGTCCGTCAACTCATTCTCATGAGAAAATGTAACTATTTTACTAGTTTTCGTATGAATTTTGTATGAATTTTTACGATGTGATTTGTATGTAAATATGCGTTGTTGTTTTTTAAGGTCCAACCCTAAAATTAACCCTCAGTGGAGCGTAAATCGAAAATCAGTGAATGAGATTGTTTGAATGCATATTATGAAGTTGCCAGCAATTTGCCAAAATGTAAAATAGTTTAGATCAAGTTATGTTAACCACACAGACCTTATAGTCTTTAATTGAAAACCCTGATTCTGAAACCCATCGATTCCAGGTTGCCCTACACATTCAGACGTCACAACTGAACAACTCAATTACGATAACCTGTCAATGTTTGGGGTTGTTGTTTTTCTTGATAGCATGTCATCTGTAAACCTAAGTGTGTTTATCTGATTTAAAACTATATGTAGGGTGCACTAAAGTGATTTTTGTGCAGGGAGGAGTGTGAAGCTGCTTTGATACAATCTGTATTGTAAAAAGCGCTATATAAATAAAGGTGACTTGACTTGAAATGATATGTTGTGTTTGTGTGAGTATGTGTGTGTGGGAGATAGAGAGATTAGCGTTGAACAGGGAAGAGAGAGGGGATTGCGCCTAGCTTGATGTAATGCTATGTGTCAGACTCAGTGGAGCGCTATCATCTGTGGGAGGTCATTGAGTACAGAGGGATATCCTGCCTACATAGACGCGCTTCATACTCAAACCTGCTGTGATCCCTTAAGACAAGGGCAGACTGCCTTTAGCTAAGTCTCTCAAATTGAATGTGTCAAACAAGATTCCAGAAGTCATTGCCCACAACTGAACTGAGTATTTGATTCATGTTGGGCTGCTACAGGGTTCAGTCTGATATAATGTTTTCTCTGCCCCTACATTCCCTAGTCATTATGGGATCATAACAGCAGAGGTGACCAGATGCTTGCTGGTTGAAAATTTGAAAGAAATTAAAGACTGTGGTTGTTGCTCAATGTGTGCCAGTATATCTGGGTTTGTTGGGCAATCTTTTTTTTTTTTTTTTTTTTTTTTTTTTTTTTTTTTTAAACAGTCTTCCCCTCTACCATAGTTCTCAAATCTCAATCCTGAGGAACGTACATTCAAATATTGCACGGCAAATTTCACGTCAGTGATTGTCAAATGGCATTAGTTCTTGTGTGTTTTAACCGATCATCAATCTGCCCCGATTCCCAGATCTGAAAGCTAGAGAGGAAGATTTTCAGTCAGTTGCTGAATTTTCTGTTTAATGTAAACTAACTATTCTTACACTACAGGTTAAATGAATATTGTTAGGAAATTACTTGCCTGAATAATTAGCATAGACTATGGTTGTTGCTCTCTTTTTATAGTTGATTTAATTAAAGGGGATTTTAAATGAAATGCATCAGCAGTCAACACCAAATCTGCCATTGAAGTGCAGACAAGATCTTTGTCAAGCCAAATATTCCCCATCAGAGAGAGTATTTTCATTACCGGCCTACCAGCAAGCATCCAGTGCATGAAAAAAATAAATAAATAAAAGATTCGTAACGTGTCCAAAGTGAGAGGCTTTTTACTGAAGCTTTACATTTGTTTAAATACCACAGCACAGAGCACACACTAACATGAGATACTATTAAATTACACTCTTTATAAAAAGCAGCCAATTAACCTTTTACATTTATAGCTTGTAGTTAAGAGGTTGATTATGTACTTCCTTTCATGCAAGTCATAGAATCTCCTTGTTGTGCAATAAAAAGTAATGTTCTGAATAGTCATTTAATTTCATGTTCTTCAAGGCTTTGGGAGCCATGAGTACACTGGAATCTTTATATTCATTTTACAAACATATATAGTTATATTACATTACATTGAAAGTAAAGTAATATTTAATAATAAAATATAATATTTAAAAATAATTTTTTTCAATAATAGTTGGAAGTTAGTTCCAAAGGGTGTCTTTGCAGAGTAACTAATGGTGAACTTTTTCATTACATTGAGTAACTATGTTCCACTTTTTTTGTGAAAAGTCTATCTTTCTTTACAATAAATGCCATTTTTAAAATAAGTTTATTATTTTATCCAATGCAATGGCTGACATTTTTATTGTATATTAATTATTAATATGAATCAAGACAAACTAATCAAATTATTATTATTATTTTGCCCTACATGCACGTTTTTATAGATCTATAATTTTGTGTAGCTGACACTGTAGATTTTCAGAAGAGCTCTGTTGCAGCTAGTGACATTAATGAAGTTCTGGAGGTGAAATTCTTGCTCTTCTAATTGATTGGCTTTAATTGTTCATTGATTTAGGATGTAATTGGGCTGAGGATGATTGAAGTCTCGCCCAACGTGAAGATCCTGTAGAGCTGAAGATCAGGCAAATGGATCACATTAGGGATTAACTCAGTGTAGCACAGTGATGAGTCATCATTGCAGCACACACACCACACACTCTTTAAACCTCTTACCCTCAGCACCACTGCAAGCTCTTTACAAGCCCCGCCCACCTAGACATGATGGACAGATGAGCTAATCTCTTCATTTCTTAGCCAATCACAGTGATTGTTTTCATTCTCCAGGTGCTTGCTTTCTCATAGTGGTTTAGCTTCCTATTGGTCCATACCAGGTATCAAGGTTAGATTAAGTGCAACAGGAAGTTGGTGATCTCATCCCCCCTTCTGTGTCTGTTTGAGCTGAGATCACTTTTTGGATTAGGGTCAGTTACATTATCCTTATATAATGGCCTTTTTCTCTTTATTGGTGTGTGTTCAGGACACTTTTGCCCAATTGTCCATGTTTATCCTTTAAGGACATCTAGGATTGTGTAACTCTTCGGACAGCAGACAGAGTGCCAAATGGCATACAGCGTGATAATGCCACACACAGACTCAAAGCTGATTGGTCAGAGTTTTAGTGTTGTCTGTCCCCTTGTCTCTATCCATCATGGTCTGCTCATTGTACCCACCTTGCTGCTTATGATCGGAAACGTGAAATATTTCCCAAGGTGAAATCAATCATGTGCCACTTCAGCTAATTTACTAAAACAATCTGATCAAAAATAATAAACTCTTATGACCTTTTTCTGTTCCTCAGATTTTTGGGAACAAGATGTTCATTCCCTCTCTGGACGGAGCTCTGTTCCAGTGGAACAGGGACAGGGAGAGTATGGAGGCTGTTCCCTTCAGTGTCGAGTCCCTGCTGGACTCCTCGTTCCGCATCGGAGAGGACACTGTGCTTGTTGGGGGCAAGTCCCTCACCACGTATGGCCTTGGTGCATACAGTGGCAAGGTAACTCAAACAGATGTTTTCTTTTTGTTTTTCAGTTGTTTTTTAGAACAATAAATGATTGATGTGCTGTTGTGGCACTCTGCGAACTCTTTTATCATATTGTAGTATTGGTTGTCAGCTTTAACCTCCCTCTCTCTTCCTCTGTAGTTAAAGTATATTTGTTCAGCGGTGGGCTGCAGTCGGTGGGGGGACGAGGAAGGAGAGCCAGAGGACGTACTGTTACTCCAGAGAACACAGAAAACTGTCAGAGCTGTGAGGCCTCGCAACGGGTTTGAGAAGTAAGAAATACCCGCAGGCTTTGGCTTCTGTTGAGCGCTTCATGTGACCTTGCATTTGATCTTACAAATGAAACGGAGGTAGATTAGATGCAGAGTACGCTGGGCTGTATCAACATTGCACAGCTTGCCAGCTTAATGTTGGAAAAACAATTGTAGAATAATAGTCATCCCTGTAAAATGCCAATTGTTTTCTCTTCCTGTTAGATGGAACTTCAGCGTGGGAAACTTTGAGCTGAAATATGCCCCTGAGATTCAGTCCAACCTCAACTTCCTGGAGGGGGAGGCGTCTACTGGGGAGACATGGCGAGAGGTCAGACGTGAAGCACAGCGTGTCATCCAGGAGGAGACGGACACTCAAACCAAAAATCATGCTAATACGCACCCAAACTCGCACACTCAGGTAGAGGGCTTAGACCTGGTCATTAAAGTTTCTGTGCCGGACTGGAAAGTCATGGCCTTCAGCACCAAACCAGAAGGACAGCTGATCTGGGAGCATCAGGTATCACAGCTCAACCCATTAGGTTACTGTTTAGAGTTTTAGGTGAAACAAATCCACAATTCCTAATTTCTCATGATTTCGTTCTCTCTCCTCTCTGTGAAGTTTTGCACACCCATTGCATCTGCGTGGCTGGTGGGAGGGGGGAAGGTAACGCCCATTAGCCTGTTTGATGACACCTCATATAACACCCACACCGACACCGAGGCTCGGGAGGATGATGACATCATAGAGGAGGCCCGCGGGGCCACAGAGTCCAGCGTTTACCTGGGTAACATGCACTTGACGGTTGTTTTACAAACATGAATGTGTAAGAGACCCTGTTTACATCTGGTATTGAAACTGGTATCGGCTGATTCGATCAAAAGTAGTCAGGTCTAACTACATGTGTATACGGTATCCCAAATGTTTTTGTGATCCACTCAAGTTACATTTGGAGGTGGTCAATGCTAATGCGTCCTGAGCAGCAGGGAAGAACCGCCTACTGGACTGTCAATCAACCGTTATTATTAAAAACGGGCTATAACTTTTGCTTTTAAAGAAAATATCTGTTCACTCAAAAAGCTCGCTTTAAATGTAGTTATTACACTGCTCAGCTGAAATAATAAGCCTTCTGCTTAATGCACACAGTGCATTGTGTACTCTTCTGTTCAAAAATGTGGGGTCAGTTTTTTTGTATTTTATTTATATTCATTTTCTTAAGCAAAAAGACATTATAAAATTATTTAAAATAATGACATTTATTTTTTAAATAAATGCTGTACTTTTGAAATTTGTTAATCGAAGAATCCTGAAACAAATATAATAGGTTCCAGAAACTTTTAAGCAGCACAACTGTTTTCAACATTAATAATAATAAGAAATGTCTCTTAAGCACCAAATCAGCATATTAGAAACGTTATTTTAAATGGTTATATCACAGTATTTCTGTTTTTACTGTGTTTTTGATCAAATAAATGCAGCATTTGAGCAGAAGAAATGGTAGCATTCACAAAATCCCGTCACAGTTTGGGACTCATGTAAATACCAGGTGTAAACGGCAATCTTTCTTGAGAAATAGAGACATGTAATGTGAATCTAAAATGTGTTTTCTCTTTCCATTTAAAGGGATGTTTCAGGGTCAGCTGTACCTCCAGTCTTCTGTGAGAATCTCAGAGAAGTTTCCTTCGAAGCCCAAAGCTCTAAACGGCTGGAGCAGTGACACTGACATGATGCCACCACCTATAGTCAAATGGAAACCCCTCATCCGTGAGTATATTACACCAAATACACACACAAGTACGTACTAAAGCTAGTGTGATGTTGTCAATAACACTAGTCCCTTTTCTCCTAGACTCCCCTTCCCGTACTCCAGTCCTGGTGGGCTCTGAGGAGTTTGATAAATGTCTGAATAATGATAAATTCTCTCATGAGGAGTACAGTAATGGAGCTCTGTCAATTCTGCAGTACCCGTATGGTAAGAACAACTGTCCTTCAGGCCATTTGGACACTTGTTTTGACTGTTTGTGAACATGTGGTTTGAGAGAATTTGAACTCCTCACCCTAATCTCTGTTTCCCAATGTAGATAATGGATACTACTTTCCATACAGCGCTCGTTATCGTAACCGGCGTGATGAGACGGCAGTGAGTGTTCTACTGAAGAAAGATGGAGAGGGGTCACAGGTGAGAAGGAAAGACCCTGTGCTGCTACTGCCGTGGTGGAAGGAGATTCTGGGTACCATCATCTTCTGCATCGCTGCCACCACCTACATCGTCCGCAAGTTCTTCCACCCGCCCACAACATACGCGCGGGTAAACAAGAACTCTTCAACGTGCACATACACACAAATGATCTCATGCTTATTATTGTGTCAAATTAATATGAAAAGTCATGCATTTTGCACTGTTCTTAATTCATCTGTGCAGCAACGTAAGGAGTCTGAGACACAGTGTCAAACTGACAACAAGTTTGAACTGGATGTTACAGAGCCCAAAGAAGTTGTCATCACAGAGACACGTCCTTGTGAATATGTTTCTAGGTAATTGAGCATACACTTTGAATTTCATATTGATGTTAATATTGATTTAGGGACTATTGTGAGTTTAACAGTTTAGGAGGGTTAATTATTATTTCAGTTAGTTATGTTTGGTAATTTAATCAATTAAAGCGTTAGTTCACCCAAAAATGAAAAAATTGTCATCGGTCACTCACACTCATGTTGTTCTAAACCCATAAGACCTTTGTTCATCTTCAAAACACAAATGAAGATATTTTTAATTAAATCTGAGAGATTTCTGTCCCTCCATTGACAGTCCATGCATCTACCACTTTGACGCTTCAAAAAGTTCATAAAGAGATTGTAAAATGAATCCATATGAATTGAGCAGTTTAGTCTAAATTTTCTGAAGAGACTCAATCGCTTTATATGATGAACAGATTTATTTTAGTCTTTTATTCACACATAAACATTGATCTTCATTTGTGTTTCGAAAAGAACAAAGTTATTATAGCTTTAGAACGATATGAGGGTGAGTTAGTGATGACAGACTTGTCATTTTTCATCTTATGTCATCTTATCCACTGCCAAAACTAATGTCTGAAATAAATAAATGTTAAGAATCAATGCATTAAAAATATGAATAGAAAACTTAAAATGCATTAACCCTCTGGGGTCTAAGGTGTTTTTGGGGTCCTTGAGATGTTTTGACATACTCTGACATTTGTGCTTTTTTCAGTTGCTTATAAACAAATTACTGGCAAAGGTGTAATTACACTCTATTTAGCACAAACCGAGCTACCATAATATGTGAGCAACATGTATGTACATGTTTGTATTTTTGAGAGAATATTGTTTATCCGTGGTTATTGAAAAAACTAAAACTTAAAGTTTCTGAAATAAGGCCACAAAACACATACTAAATATGTATCCACAAGACTTTTGACTAATGGATGTTGTCGCCTAGAGTTTTTTCTTCAAAATGATCTGAAAATCATCCTGCCTTATCATTCACATAAAACAATAGATTGGTTTAAATTTAAAAATGACACTTTTTGTTTGGAAAGGCAATATGCGCAGGGGTGTGACCTGCTGTGATTCACACCTGAGAAGACAATGGGCCCGCATAATGAGCGCATAATGGGGCTGCATACTAATGAGCCTTTCATTCAGGTGTGTCACTGAGCCACACGAATGCAATGACAATATATATATATATATATATATATATATATATATATATATATAGGCCTATATAATACAAAATTGGTTCACAGTTCCAATTATTTATTTATTTTTCAAATTGTGCTTGCAAATTGTATAATATCAAATGTAAACATTTCTAGTAATTGTGCAGTTAATTCTCATACTGTATTTACAGAAAGTTTGGGAATATATCCCAAATGTGTCACTAATAAAACACAATACAAATAATTTAAAGAGGAGGCTTATATTGAGCTTTTAAGATTTACCTAAGATTTATTTATATGTACATATATTTTTGCTATTTTAATAAAAAGGGTACAATTACAACATCAATACAATTTTTAACTATATTTCAAATGTAATCTTTTTTTGTATAAACTAAAGTATACATTTTATCATACATATTTCACAGTTGCGGATTAATTAGTTTGAATATAGCCTACAATCGAACAAACACTATAATAACATCTTAGCAAACAAGCTTATTTGATGTGGCAGTATTTTACAGTAAAAACGACATCTTGTCTTTCATATGTAACATATCGTTTTTATGATTAGGGCATATAAATGTTAATTTGCAGTTTAATACATTGCTTATACAAAAATATTTTATTTCAACATATTTCAGTCGATTTTTACTCATCTCAGTATTGGAATATAGTTAGGTAAAAGCTGTTCGTTCATTCACACACAAAAATGCGATTCATATTCAAACAGTCTTTTTGTTTACAGACACTATTTCATATCGCGATTAGAACAAAGCACTTGAGAATAAAGAATTTACCTATTCCTCAGCTGGATCCGTTGCTCCTCAAAATGAAACTACCTGCACTTCTGAGGTAATTTTTTCCAGGATTATTATTAAGATAGTATTATTCCTCACAGCGTCGTAAATATGAGTCTCTTTCGGTGGGTTATCCAGCTGATGTGGGCGTGGATCGCCTCAGAGCATTTGTGTTTGAATAGAGCGCGCGCTCCGTGGCCGTGGTCAAATTAACTTTAATGACCTGAGACGAGAACGACTATCATCTCTCTCTTTTCGTACAGATTACATAAAATGAGAAAATTTGTTTTTTATATAAATTACTTCATTTAAAAGAAGATAATTCAGGCTTCATGCCTGTGTGCCTGTATACCTGTTTGACTGAGTATTTGCAGAGTTATAGTTAATTTTCGGACGCGTTTCAGAATTGACTTCAATGACAGAGAGAACGCAGAACTCGCATCATGTTTGTTTTTCTTTATTTGGCGAAAAGCACAACACTTTGTTTTTATTGTGAGTATCCACAAAAAAAATAGACACTTAATAGGATCGATTGATGTATAACACTTATATGTACGATCAAAATCAACAGAGTATTTTGAGTCTCTTTTGCACTGATAAGGAAAAAAGCGAGCAGATCACGCCGGCGTGATTGCCGACCCCAGAGGGTTAAGAAGAAAATATTTTTCCTTAAAGTATATTTAAATATTAAGTAGATATGGGCTACTTGCACATGGTATTAACATAAATTATTAATCAATAATTTATTGTTAATTTTGACAATGAACTTGAAGTTCCGTATAATATAAAACTTTTAATATATAACTCTAGCTCACACCATTGGTTGACCCAATGCCCAGCTTTGTTGGGTTGCTCAAACGCATTGCATTTCTATTTGGTGCTGCTAGAAATTACAGACTTTACCTTTAAATGATGGTTACAAATGCCTCAGTCAGACCTACAGTTGAAGTGCCTTTTTTAAATGAGGAAATTCAAACCCATCTTTTAAAATAGATTACACTTGTTTGCACATGGTACATTAGAGACTTGCAGTTGCTGAATGTGGAATGCACAGATGGCATCTTGATCATATTTTACTTTTAAATTCCCAGGGCTAAATGCACAGCTATTATGACTCAAGTGCTCTTGCTGTGCAGTTTATTTGTTGTTTGTGTTTGATTTGTTTTCAAGTGGATTTGCTGTTTTTGTTTGTTTTGGTTTTTATTGTATTTATATGATAGTTGTATTTTTGTAATTGAATTTTTGCCATGAAAATAGCCTTGGATGCTGACATGGCACATAAAAAACAATCTGAATCTGTTTTCAAGTGACATTTTAAATGACTAATTACAGTATGTAACACTTTTAGTTTTAGTTTTAATCTCTGTGTGCTCTGATGTTGAGCTCATTTGAACACCGACACGAACAGCTGTTTTATTGCACAACATACCGTTGTCCTTTTTAAGTGGTGCTTTAGATCAGTAGAACATAAAGTCCACATGACTATATTCATAGCTGATTTGGGTTTGTTTGTATTTATCAGGTACTTGACAGACTTTGAGCCAGTTCAGTGTTTGGGACGTGGTGGATTTGGTGTCGTGTTTGAGGCGCGCAACAAGGTGGATGACTGCAACTACGCCATCAAGAGGATCCGCCTACCCAACAGGTAACGGTCAACACAAAACTTTAACGCTCCATAAAAAGCATGATACAGATGTCTGTATGTTTGTGTTTAATGCTGTGATTGTGATTGTAGGGAGTTGGCTCGTGAGAAGGTCATGCGAGAAGTAAAGGCTCTAGCTAAGCTGGAACACCAAGGCATCATCCGTTATTTTAACGCTTGGCAGGAGAGTCCGCCCCAGGGCTGGCAGGAGGACATGGACAAACGCTGGCTCAAAGATGCCAGGTGTGCAGAATGTTCTTGAACATAAATACATTTGTGATAAATACAGGGTTGTTGCGGTCATGGATAGCCAGAGATATTTTAAAGATATGATTTCTGGACCTGTAAAAATAATGAAAACTACTCTAGTAAATGTACATTTTATTCTTGGATCTAAAATGTTTAATCATGAATATTTAGAGATATTGCAGTCTATTGAATGAATTTTCAAAATGGGAAAATTCATTGAAATGCATCAGGAAAGCATAAATATAAAATCATTTGCATTAAATTTAAAATAAAGTTGCAGCTGCTGCCTAGCAGGTAGCACATGCACACTGAGTCATAGTGCTCATGTGAATGACACAAGTTTGAATTAAGCTTGCAACATTTTATGATCACTTTCATGTACATGTTTACAGTAGTTTTTGTATGTAAATGCATATCTGTTGCTCTGTCTGGTTAACTATTATCTATCTTTCTGTGTAACTATGTCTCTTATTGGTCTTTGTCTGCTTGACTTTCTGTGTCTTTCTAAGTATTATTATTATTATTATTATTATTATACCGGTAACTAACTATCTATTATTTGTATGTCTGTCTTTCTATCTCTTATATTTCTTTGTCTAACTATCCAACTATCTGTTATTTATTTGGTTGTCTAACTATCTATTGTCTGTCTGTCTATGTTATCTATCAATCTATTAATCTATCTATGACATTAATGGGAATGATTTTTTTTTTTTTCTCAGTACTGCTGACTGGTTACTGAGTTCTCCTGAGCACATGGAGGCATTCTCAGTCAAAGTTCCTGTGGCCACTCCTTCTCCAGTGGACTCCTCATGCATGTGTGCGGCCGGTGGGGACACGAGTGTGTGCATCGGGGATCAGGTGTGTGTGGAAGGCCTGGGACCGGACAGTATGATGTCAGAGCGTGACAGTCAGGCTGTCCTGGACGTCTCGGATTCCCCCCACTCTTTTGAGCTCTGCCCTCCCCGCACAGTTGCTCATGGCGACTGCACTTCTTCCTCCTTCGATATAGTTTTTGAGGACTCAGGCTGTGAACACCAGGACAATGACAGTGACCTCAGTGGAAGAACACCTGTGCCACCTGCGTGCCTTTCACAGTCTGGCTCCAAAACCCAGCGTAGTACATCAGTGGGACCACCCTCTAACTTGCCATCAAGGCCCACCTCTCTGAGCCTGGCCCCCAGCACCCCCTGCCCTGTCACGCGGCCCCCGCTCACACCTAAGGTCTACTTGTACATTCAGATGCAGCTGTGCAGGAAGGAGAACTTGAAGGACTGGATGGCCCAGAGGTGTTTGCCTGAGCTCAGGGAGCACAGTCAGTGTCTGGATATCTTCCTGCAGATCGCAGAAGCTGTGGATTTCCTGCATAGCAAAGGACTTATGCACAGAGATCTTAAGGTAGAATGCTGAACGTGATTGCAGTGAGGGGTTTTCCCAATCCAAACTGCTCTTTCATTTCCTTCTCTTTCTCTCTCAGCCATCCAATATCTTCTTCACAATGGATGACGTGGTGAAGGTGGGAGACTTCGGACTGGTCACTGCTATGGATCAGGAGGAAGACGATGAGGAGCTGAGTAACCTCACACCAATGCCAATGTATGCCCGTCACACTGGCCAAGTGGGCACCAAACTCTACATGAGCCCTGAACAGGTCAGTTCCAGTCACTCTCTGCACAAAGTATACACAATTTAGAGTGAAAACAATGCTGGTGCAACGATCAGTAAAACGATCAGATTTCTACTTAGCAGAATTTTTTTCCCGTCTCTCATCTCTTCCTTTTTCCCCCTCTTTAGCTGTCTGGGAATTCTTATTCTCACAAGGTGGACATTTATTCACTTGGCCTGATTCTTTTTGAGCTTCTCTGTCCATTCCGCACCCAGATGGAGAGAGTCAGGGTAAGACCGCATACCATTCGGACACTACCATTCAAAAGTTTGGGGTTGGTAGTATTTTATGATTTTGAAGGAAGTCTAATGCTCTCCTAGGCTGCTTTTAATTTTAAAAAACCTATTTAGAAAAAAAAAAAAAAAAACTCTGAAAAATTACAATTTATTTAAAATAAACCCTTTTCTATTTTAAAATGTAATTTATTCCTGTGATGGCAAAGCTGCCATTACAGTCTTCAGTGTCACATGATCCTTCATAAATCATTCAAATATGCTGATTTTTGGTGTTCAAGAAACCTTTCTTATTATTATCAATGAACAGCATTTATTTGAAATAGAAATATTTTGTAACATTATAAATGTCTTTACTGTCACTTTTGATCAATTTAATGGATCCTTACTGAATAAAAGTATTCATTTCTGTTAAAAATACAACAACTTTTGAACAGTAGTATACTCATGTGAATACAAATAGAATATTTAATTATATTGTACTGACTGGTAAACATCTCGCTGATTTTCTTTCAGACTCTCACAGAGGTCAGAGCCCTACAGTTTCCTGCTGCTTTCTGTAAGGCCAATGTTCTGGAAGTAAGTTTTTGTGCCTATACTGCTGGGTATTTTGCAATGGAGGTGGAGGTGGAGTGTGAGTGACGGTACAATTGGGATATCTTAAAGATGAACAACACTTCTAGTGCCCCCTATAGGAGCAAGGTTACAATTACAACATCAACATGTCCAGCCCAGAGCCATAGAGAGAAAGAGTTGCGACATGCTATGATGTCGCCGCGACGGCTGTCACGTGGTTCATGTAAGCTCCAATAGTTCCAAAACGTACGCGGGCTGTCATGTTCTTCTATGGACAGACAGCAGCGATTGCATTATTAAACGGTAAATATAAAATAAAACACACACCCAAGTACTTTTTAAGCTGTTATTGCGTTTTGTTAATGTCAGTTTTGCATTTGGAGAGGCAGGGTGACAACTTAGATAAGTTTTAGGCTATATTTTTGGAGGGAAACGCTAGTGTTCATGTTCGCATGGGTAGTAATAGCACTGGCTTTAGCGGCTCTAACTTAACTTTTCCATGTCATTCATCTGATGATGGACGTCTCATGATATTTATTTTAGCACAACTGGGCTGTATTAGGCTATTGATTCCCGTGATCTTGCTTATAAATTCCGCTTCGTGATCACGCAAAGAGGTCTGCGGTCCGTTCAGAATTCCAACCAACATAAAATATAAATAATTACGCTGTGCATGTACAAATGAATGATTTAGGAGGGAATAGACTGCTCCCATAACGTAGAAAGCAACGACTATATACAGCAATGTTCGGTAAATATTCAACCGAAAAATATTCTTCATAAAATTAAACCGGAGAGATAGTTAATGAGTGAATTAACTATGTTCCTAAATACATATAAGCACATGCATAGCCCTAACCCATTTAAATAAATGAATTGTGTGTGTGTGTGTGTGTGTGTGTGTGTGTGTGTGTGTGTGTGTGTATAATATTATATATAGGCAGTATAAAGATATATATATATATATATATATACATATATAAAATATTATTAAAAATATTATATATTATATACATCAGGTTACCAGTTAGCTAACGTTAGTGAAGTGTTGGTCACGTAAGCTATCGCTGCAATTAACCTATTATCTTCCAATAAACATTTACTAAAACTGGCTACATAAAATATAACTACAGACTAGATTCACGAGAGGTCGGCTAATGTGTGTAAAAGTAAAAAAATACAGTAATTTCATTCATTTACCAGCGAACGTACTTCGGAAGCACTGAAAATGAATGGGGTTCAATGGGGGAACTATCAGTGTTTGGAACTATTGGCCGCTCCACGACACGCGTTACTTCCGCATTCCAAAGTTCCTATGGCGGTCTATGGGAGTGTCGCAACTCTTTCTCTCTATGGCTCTGGTCCAGCCTAATGTTTGTTTTCATTCACACAGCAGCAGAACGCGGTTGTCAGACCTGTTTTAGCACACTAAATTTAGAATGTTAAATCAGTTGTATTTAAAGCGTACCACAATGCATGTACACGTGTTTCAAAGCAGCTTCATAGAAAATTTCGCCTTAAAGGTGCTGTATGTAATGGTTTTGACTGTACTAAAGCATAAAAATGCCTGCAGAGTGCCCGCAAATGTTTTGCAGAGATATAGGAAATGTGCTCCGTTCATACACTTGTTTCTCTGAAAAAGAATGCTACAGCCAGTTATTCTACTTTGAAATGTGCGTTCCATGTCGGATTGCTGTTTTGGTATGTGTGATCCTGCCACTGCCAATTTACCCTATAGTATTTCGACACCCCAGGTTGCCAGTTGGCAGAAAACACAGCGTATTGCAGCCATGGAAGCCAGCAAACGAACTGGGTCAGAGATTGCAGATTCTACCTGACCTAAAAAGCCTTGGCATCCATCTAAAAAAGCTATACGACCATAGGCATATTAAACACAGATAAATCAACTCATCAACTTAGTGTAAGGCTCATCGCCTTCCATTGTCAAATGTGCTCACTCCGGTTGCGTGTCCTCAATCTTGCAACCCTTGTGAGTGTTGAGTCTGAGAAGGAGGGGTGGGGGAAACCAGTCTCTCCAATATTTGGAATGTTAATCACTAGCTAGTCTCAGCCTCAGAGGTCACGCCCACGGAACGTTGGCTAAACGTCTGATGCATATGGTACACTTAACTGGAAACACTTCAGGAATGTCGAAGTCGTCATCTGATTAGTTGAATTTTATCGGATTTCCGGGGGGCGCGATAGTGTCGCGTTTATTTTCGGTCCGCCGGAAAACAAAGCGCAGACGTGTGATTGCGGAAGAAAAACTGTTGTGTTTACATGAGTGACAATGAGCATTTATCAAGATCAGCTGAACGTAGGATTCTCTAAAGTATGCGAGGTTCACGGCATAGACTCTTGAAGTTTTCTTCTCCTTCTTTGACTTTCTATGCTGACTGACTTGTTGCACGCCGGTCTGTTGTTGTGGGGACATTTCCACGCCCCGAAACGTGACGCTGAACGAAACGAACTGTAATTGGTTGTTTGACATGTCGGTCAAACGGCCTTATGGGCGGGCCTTGGCCAAAGAAAGCTGCTATGAATTCCAGACATTCAGCCGTCAGTCTGAAGGTCTGGCTACGCGAGACTAACCACTAGCTGTCAATATTACATACTGCCCCTTTAATGACCCATGAATGAGCAACTGTGGTTTTGGCAAGGAAATAGTTTTGTTCACCCACAGTCATTCACTTTCAGAAAAGTAAGACTGAACTGATGAATTCACACTCACAACTATTGTGAGTATGGAAAATGGCCATAAATTGGGTTATGGTAAATGGACTGCATTTATATAGCGCTTTCACAGACCCAATGGCCACCAAAGCGCTTTACAATTTGCCTCACATTCACCCATTCACTCACACATTCATACACCGACGGGCGACGGCAGCCATGCAAGGCGCCATCCAGCTTGTCGGGAGCAGCTGGGGTTAGGTGTCTTGCTCATGGACACCTCGACACTTGGTCAGGTGGAACCGAGGATTGAACCACCAACCTTCCGGTTTGTAGACAACCCACATGAACCACTGAGCCACTGCCGCCCCCATTCCTTCATACAGACAGTAATTAAACGGATACTACAACCCAGTGGTTCTGGGTTTTTTTTTTCTTTTCTTTTTTTGGCGTTTGAAGACCCCTATATAAAATTAACAGAACTATAACCATATTATATAATTAATAAAAACTGGGAGTGTTGATATAGGTAAATTAAGACATTTCAAGAACTGTTTTTCAATAAAAACAATAGTTTTTTCAATGTTTTTCTAGCATTTAAATATATATATATATATATATATATATATATATATATATATATATTAGTAATATAATATCAATAAAAAATTAAGTTAACCAGTGGTCCCTTCTGAAGTGTGCTGAGGCCCCCTAGTGTAAGCTGTTGTCAATCAGTCACTTTATAAATGATATATTATTAGGATTTATTCCACACACTAATATCATTGTATCTGTTTGTGTTTCAGGCACAGATGGTGCGCTGTATGCTGTCCCGAGTGCCCGCGGAACGCCCAGAGGCGTCAGAAATCACAGAGGCCCCTTTATTCCAGGAGCTGGAGATGCCCTGCAGAATCCGACCACGCACTCGAACGTACAGCGCTTCGTCTGCAGGACGACCGTCAAGACAGATATCCTCATCAAACTAGAACTCCCACTCAAAGACACACACATACTGTACCTCGTCTGCAGGATGACAAACACAACCAGTCACCACCTCTTGCAACGCACATTCAGATAAACTGAGCTAAATCAAGATCATCATCCCACTAAGGTCATTCCACAAACCTCTACAACTGGAATCACACACATCGTAAACATAAATGAAATTGCTGCCCACTGTGGCATTTGTGCCAAGGGCGTTCAATAATTAACAAAAAGGCCCCATTGCATTTCTTTCAACTCAGTCAACCAATCCCATGATTCCATGCTCCAGAAGCATTTTAACACACCCACCCACACACACACTTGCAGTAGGAGGAGAGTTGTTGTTTTTGCAGTGCTAATGAATGACCTGCCTTCGGACGCCGTTCACTCTGCATGTCTTAAACGGGAAGTTGTGTGATGCGTGCTTTTCTTTCCAAACGGGAAATTGCACGAGTTCTTTTTCTCCTCTAATGTAAATAGGCTTAAATACCAAGCAAGAGAGGCTTTGTGTGCTTTAAAGGTGCTCGTTCAAGACCGAACGCACAAGTTCAGAGGCATTATAGCCACTCGCTGATACAGTGTTAGTGGCTAATGTGCACATTACTTGATGAACATGGATCTGCATATGACTGAGTGGATGTGGAAATATTCAAACTGCCTTTAAGCTGGACTTTGAGACACGAATGACATGTTAGTGATGGTCAGTATGAGACTTAGAATGGACTGATTTGAAATGGAGACTTTAAAAATCATTCTGTAAAATACTTCATGTCAGTAGCTCCTAGAAAGGTAGTTTACTGGGTCATTTTGAAAAGAAAAATTCAAAAAAATCTGAATAAGAAAGAAGTGCTTTGACTAATCACACAATAAGAAAGGATACAGCTGGAGGAATCACTTCGACCAAATATTCAGCACACACCCTTAATTGTAACATATCAGGTATTTACTGATTGTATGATTTTTCTTACCGATTTTGATTAGAGGGAGTGAATTTTCTTTTGTATATGATGGAATTTTCTGTATAGTGACTGCTTTTTATGACTTTTTTCAACTTCTATGGACGTTTTTCCTAAGAATTGTTGTCAAAGTTTGAGAGAATGGCGATAGTGGATTGTGGTGACGGATTGGATCTCTGGTTGCGTTGAAGAGCACCGGGTGCCTCTGCACCTTCAGGAGCAGCTTCTGTATGTATGTGAATACTGGTGCGTTTCCTGAACTGGCCATATGCTGCAGAACGGATTTGAGATTATGACCTTTGACCCTTAAGCACGAGGACTGCGTCCTGTAATCCACGTCAGGGACCGCTTTGTAAACCCTTCACCTTTTAACCTATATCTGTGAACCCGACCCAGTGAAGACAGCAACGAGTGCTGATCCTGTTCAGATCACTGTGGCAAATCCTTCCAACAGATCTTTCCCATCTAATAATTCTCCTCAGTCTTTGGTTTAAATTCATTTTATTGATGGCCGTTTCATTATTGTTAATTTAGCATTTGGTTTTGACCGTTTCAGTTTATCCAATGTTCTTCAGATGTTTTGTTTTTTTCTGTGACGGTTGGAATCCCGGTTTCATGTTCTGTAGCCATGTCTCCTGCCGTTTTATGTAAATATGTTTGTTTTTATTTATGTCGACTACAAAAATCAATCCGTTGGATTGGTTGAGGTATAAATAAGGTATATGAATGCACTTCATCCGGTGGAGTGCGTTGAAATATTGTGACTTCTTACAAGTCAATAATGTAATAAACGTTCTATGATGTTTGTAAAAGTGTTTTGTTTGTTTTTTTCTAAACACTAATAACGATAATTTTTAGATGCACTTTGCTATAATAGAATGCAACTGAATTTAGTCCAGGTTTCAGCAGTTTCCTGCTGTAAGACATGCTAAATCTAAAGCTATTTTTCTTAAATTAAAATTTTGATGTTGAATAAATTATTTTCATAGTACATGTGAATACCACAAAGTGCCACAAGGGAACGCTGTTTAACTATATATTTTTACAGACACATTTTTTTTTGTCTACACCAGAATTGTTGAAATGATCCTTATCACAAACAATTCGCATTTAATATAAGTCTTTTAGAAAGAGCTGTAGAGAATTATGCTTACTTTTTTTTTATTTGATGTCGCAACCACGTATATATATATCCCACACAGAATAAACTCAATTATACTGCATTATACGTACCTATTATCATATTGCTTTATTTATGTAATATTTCATATTATTGTAAATGTTTACATTTTTTTTCTCTGAGCCAATTGTCATAAATACTTTATTAAATCCCGCGCTCCTTAGCAATCAATGCGCACTTCCGCATGTCGTCATTTCCGGGTGTCAATATGCGTCTAGGCACTGCAGCGATAAGCATCGGTAAAATGTGAACAAGAAAAAAAAGAGAAAAAATCCGCCTCCAAAGAAACCACGGGCAGCCGACAGCATCGACGATACTGCTATCCTTTGTCTCCCATCATCCGCTAGTCACTAGCAGCGGATTCGTCACCGTCTGTCAGCCGTTTCTGTGGGAATGGCCGCGGAGGTTCGGAGGGCCCTTGGCCGGGGCTGGTGTCTCTCACACGGCCTGCCTCGCGTAGGCCTTCACGGCACCGTTCTGCAATCTATTCTCATCATCACAGCCCTCAGCGGACTGGTACGTCTGCCCGCGGCCACGGAGGCGAAGGAGTGTGATAAGCCGTGCTTGAACGGCCAGTGTAACACAGCCAGCGGCGTGTGTGTATGCGAGCCGGGATGGGTCGGGGAGCAGTGCCAGCACTGCGGCGGCCGCTTCAGGTGAGACACAAACGGCTCTTATTTACAGTCTAATGCTTGAAGTACGTACAGAACACTGTAACTTTTGTCAGGGACCGGTTCATCCATGAAATATTAACAGCGTATCATGAAGGCTCATGTTAAGGAATTATGAAGATACAACCTGCGCTGTTTGAAATCTGATGCTCATTAGAGTCAGATACTGTCATTAGAAACTGCTTTATGGTGTTAAATCTAAGTCTAAATCAAGTCTTGAAGCCCTCAAAGTTTATAAATAAGCAGTGTGCATTGGTGTTCTGACATTAGTCAAAGTCCTCACTGCTTTATTATGTTTATTTCTAATCCAATATTGTTGTTCCAGTTATACTTACCGTTGTTGGCACATTTTCCCAGGTTAAATAGACTAAATAAACTATCCAAAAATAGTTATTGAATTTTGTATTTTTATGACACTTTACATTTTACATGAACTCATGTTTTATTTATTAAAACAACTCGAGCGTTTTCTGTTAGGATCAGTATCGGATGATACTTTGACAAAGCATATTTGTTGTTATTTAATTGCACACTTAAATTTTCCAAATGTCATAAAAGTATTTTTTTAATTTTCATAATATAAGTGTTTTATATTTTCATTTGTATGCAAACTTGGGATGCAAAAAAAATAAAGTTGGTTTGAGATAATTGGCTAAATGCTCTTAAAGGGATGAAAGAGAAAGAAAAGCTGAGGATGAAGGAGAAAGAGAAAGAAGAGCTGAGGATGAAGGAGAAAGAGAATAAAAATTCTGTCATTTACACCCTCATGTCGTCAGTGGCGGCCTTAAGCATCTGGGGGCCCGTTTCAATTACTACTATGGGGCCCTACCCACATAAAACAAACATAATAGAGCAGAAAAAGCAAGGATTCCTGTTGGTTTGCATCATGAACAGGCAGCTCAACAGCTTCATGCACAACAGCTTCATGAACAAGCAGGTCAACATAGAAATAATCCAACCTTATTTGATTAAAACTATGTACAATTATAAAGCGTTTTACGTTGGAATAAGCCTCGCCCTTTCACGCAGGGTAACTTCACTTTTGGTAGACTGAATAAAGCTTTTCTGTTGTTGTCCGATATCTTTCGTTTTTTCAGCACCACTGGCATATGTACGTTTCATTTCCTCTTGAAATTCTTTTTCTGCTCAAAATAACATTTTAACCTAACGGCAAAAAAGGTAAAGGTTAGGTATAAATACATAAACTACCGATATTATACTTCAGATCGCTCAAGCCGTAAACGTCGCCATGGTAACCGTGAGTTCGACCAATCAGAGACGTCAGTGTTTTGCAAATAACATGGTTGATTTCGTAGCTTGTGGCTTTTATAGGAGCGGAAACTTTCATTACACAACCTCGTAGCTCGTGGTCAATCTACCTTGAATGGTTTAGACATTATGGCTGAAAATCAATATCCTACGGAGAAAATGAATGGGATTTTGCTGGTCTGTTGGGGCCCCCCTTGGAGGGCGGGGCCTGTTTCAATTGAAACGGGTGAAACATAGGAAGGCCGACCCTGCATGTCGTTCCAAACCCGTAAGACTTTTGTTAATCTTTGGAACACAAATGATGATCTTTTTGATGAAATCTGAGAGCTTAAGCGGTTTAGTCCAAATTTCTCGATCGCTTTAAAGGGACATTAAGTAAGAATTACTCCCATCTAGCGGTGAAATTGTATTTTGCATTCAAACGAATTGTGCTCTCCAGCGCCTCACGTTTTCAAATGCGTGTTGCGTCTACGGTAGCCGTTATGTACCAAAAAGCTATGACAGGATGTCTTCTAATAGCACTTCGTCGAGTTTTCCTTTGGGTGAATAGGTTTGTTATTTCAAACAAACTTCAAATTGACACAACGAACAAACAAATGTTACAGTATGTCAAAAAAACATTAACTATTGTAATTAGTAGTTATGCCTTCTTTATTCGTTATATTTTCTGAAGTAGCCTACGTGCATTGTTAGATATCATCATCAACTTTTAACTGTACATGTATGTTCATCTGTCTATAAAATAAAGTACACAACCAAACAATGAAAAAAAGCTTGTAATTAAGACTGTAGTGACTTACCTGTCGAGAAGAAAGCAGGACTTCAGCGTGATCTTTCTCCTGCATTAGCTCTATCCACCTGGAAAAAGCTATCCCGACATTTACTCGTGTTTTTTGTAATCTCCGGTCACGTTTCCTTTTACGATCTATTTTGGACTTTTCAGGCGACGAGGATTTTGCAATGCAGCCTTTTAAACTTGCCGGGGCAGTGACAAGCGCCTCTCACTGCTCTGCTCCTTTCAGTTACGTCACGCTGGCTCTGAACGAAAACGCACTGTGGAAACGCGTTGGCGTACTTTTTGTCCCTCTCTGCTATTATAGTTTTTCAAGATGGCGGAACTACATGGAAGCCTCCGTGGACTTACCCGTCCCATGTATATAAATATAATAAATTCTTCGCTTACGAGGATAAATCAGATAATTGGCAGAGGTATTTGTACACCATTGGGGACATATTTATGAATAAAAATATTGATTTTAGATGATAAATTACCTAAAAAGTTACTTATAGTCCCTTTAAGTGATGAACAGATTTAATTCAGTCTTTTATTCACATATAAACATTGATCAGTGAACATAAACAGAAGCTCAACCGAACCTGATTGATGAGTGAGAATGAACCTCATTGGTTCTTGCTGAAGCTCTAATGTGTAACACGAGAATGAACCTCATTGGTTCTCGCACATCAAGCGAACATGCTTGAGCTTCCGTTTACCACAACTGATGTGTGTGTTGATGAATGTTTAAATGTGAATAAAAGCCTAAATTTATTCTGTTCATCATATAAAGTTATCGAGTCTCTTCAGAAAATTTGGACTAAACCGCTCAATTTATATGGATTAGTTTTATGATCTCTTTATGAACTTTTTGAAGTGTCAAAGTTGTAGTTGTGTAGCTGTCAATGGAGGGACCGAAATCCCTCATATTTAATCAAAAAAGATCCTCATTTGTGTTTCGAAAATGACCAAAAGTCTTATGGGTTTGGAATGACAATTTTCATTTTTGGGTGAACTAACCCTTTTAAATGTTGACCCTCATGACAATCACTGAATATTTTGCACCCAGTGGTCATCAATAATTATTATTGTCAAAAATGATTCAAGTCTCATACTAGGTTTTAGTGTGATTCAACTGTTTTCATAAAACGTGTTTTTGTAACTTCTCAACATTGGCATAAAACTGACCAGATCAACTTCACTGATGTACAGTATGAACAGTAGTATTATAAGGTTTCATTGGAATATGATGTTTGCCACATGCTGCTCCATCATGGGATGTGACTCACTGATGGGCAAAGTCTGGCAGAGACACTGGTTACATTGGGGACTTTGGGTCACGCAGGGTGAATCTGGCTCCAAATAGCTGAGAAGAGACAGACAGACTGAAGCCAAATGATCATGTGGTGTCAATCACGAATCTTAACACCGCCACGCTGGAGGCAGAGACCGTTTATAACATTCTACCATTTCATCTCGGATCAGGAATGTTCCTGTCTTCCTAATGATAAGTCAATGGAACAGAGTGTAAATTCACTAGTAGCTCTGTTTTTCAATAGAGATCCCTGCCAAGGACGTGTATTTTCTGGTATAGCCTATTGTGGGCACACAATCATAATAAAAATAATAATCATTATCATTGTTTTGACTCTGCTCACAGGTTCTTTCATAATCTGACTGATCTGACGGTGATAATACTCAGTGTTGTTATTGACTTAAACTTAAAAGACTTAAATGTTTCTTGGCTTACTGAAATAAGTTTAAACTGAAGTTACTAAAGCTGAAATAAAAGTAAAGCAAAATAGAAATATATAAAAAAAAAAACTAATAAAAATGGCACAACAAAATAACTCAAATTAAAATGAAAATTGCCCAATGTTAAACAAGGAGTTGATCATGCTGTAGTTTAACAACAAC